TGTACTGGTCCAGTAAACGCTTCCGCTGCGCCACCAGCAACAGCTCTCTTTGCAGAGTATTAATTAAGTCCAGTGCAGAGATTCTTGTTGCAGTACAAGCTTCAGAGTCTCAGCAGCAAAGAAATAACGACACAGGGAAGCCTGTCTTTCCAAAGACAGGTTTATTGCAGAAAGATAACAGAAATACCTCCGGAGCTTTCAGACATTTTTGCTTCACACCCCACAGGCAGAGAAAACAAACACACTTTATATACTGAGCAACTTAACAACTTAACGAGCTTGACTACTTAAAGTCACATGACATTGCTAACTTGCCAGCGTCTTAGGTTTCACACCCTAACACCCCTCTCGCTGGCAATACAAAAAAACCAAAATTACTTCAGACCCATTTCTTCACAAAGTTTTCATGCCGCTGAAACCCAAGTGGTTTTGTAAAACCATCAGCTTGATTTTCATGACTGGGACAGTAATTTAATTTAACAATTCCTGCTTTTACCGTTTGACAAACATTTTGAAAGCGGATATCCAAATGTTTTGTACGACCTTTAAACTGCCCATTTTGTGCTAACTTAAGACACGGTTGATTATCACCCCACACAGTGATTGGAGTGATGGCCTTTTCATACATCTCTTGTGCCAAGCATTTGTAAAATTCTAGATCTCTACATAACTCAGATAAGGCACAGAACTCAGCTTCTGTTGACGACAAAGCAATTAGGTTCTGTTTCTTGGATCTCCACCCAATCAGAGAGTTACCAAATTTTATTACACAGCCAGACACTGATTTTCTATCCTTTAAATTTGCCCAATCACTATCTGCCCAACAAGTAATCTGTGCTTGTCCTTCCGAAAACAATTCAAGGCAAAAATCTTTGGTGTATTGTAAATATCTTAACACTCTTTGAATTCCTTTCCATGCATTTACACTAGGTTTCAAGCTTCTCTGCTGAGTAAGTTAACAGCGTAAGCAATATCTGGTCTACTCCATTGCGAAAGATGAAGTAAGCTTCCCAGTGCTGACTGAAAGATTTCAGCACGCTTGAATTCAGCACTATCCTTGAACTCATTGTCTTTTACAAAACCCATTTCCATTGGTGTTCTAACACCTGCACACTCCGTCATGTTAAACTTTTCAACATTTGCAATATCTTGCCTTTTTGATTCAGTAGAAAACTGCCATTTTTGGTCCTATCTATCTGAACACCAAGATAGACCTTCACATCACCAAGATTCTTAACTTTGAAGTGTTTATTTAACTCTTTGGCTAGTTTTTTACTTGTTCTTGTGTCTTTGAAGTATAAATCAGGTCATCTACATAAACAAGCAAAGATTCTTGAGCATCTCCTGAACTTCTGAAATATAAGCAATTGTCAGCCTTGCTCCTGCTAAAACCAATGCCTACCAAAACGTCATTCAAACATTCATTCCAATTATGAGCAGATTGCTTGAGTCCATAAATAGATTTATGTAGTTTCCATACCTGATTTGATTTACCAACTTTCAATCCTGGCGGTAGCTCCATATAGAGCTCTTCAGCCAAGTCTGAATGAAGATAAGCTGTAGAGACATCAAATTGATTCACTTTGAACCCTTTCTGAGCAGCAACTGCTAATAGTGCCCGTAGGGTTTCACTCCTTGAAGTGGGTGCATAGACTTCGGAATAATGTAACCCCTTTCTTTGCGTAAAACCTCGAGCTACAAGCCTTGCTTTGTACTCTGGTTTCCCCATCGCTGTTGTCTTTATCCTGTACACCCACCTACAACTTACTGCTTTGGTACCTTCTGGCAGTTTGGTGATGGAAAACACACCCAGTTCTTTCATAGAATTCAACTCCTTTTGCATGGCCTCACGCCACCTATTGGCCTCCTCCTGGGGTAATTGTTCAACCTCCTCAAAACTTTCAGGTTCGCAATTTGCCAAACCAGCCCAAACACTAATAGCTTGGTACCTTTCAGGGGGTTTACCTTTGTTGGTACGCGTAGAACGCCTTAACAGTTCCTGCGATGTTCCTTCAGTTTCCCCCTCTGACCCAGAATCACTAGTCGTCACCTGTTTGTCACTAGTAGTTGTAGAACTTTCTGATTCTGACTTTACACGTCTCTCTTGCTGTACAGGTGAACTTTTAGAACTAGAAGATTCTGACTTTACAGACTTGGGTGAACTAGGCGATTTCTCACCCTTATCCTCAGACTCAAATTCCTCAGTCTGTTCTGGAACTAATACCTGCCCTGGGGCCTGAGTTTCATTGCTGTTCACCACATCAAATAGTATGTCAGGATTTCCATGAATTTTATTCCAACCATCCTGTTCACAAAATTCTGCACTTCTGCTGATTGTGATTTTCGTTTGATTGCCTTCTACATTCACAAATCTCCAACCTTTTGTGTTTGCTTGATAACCACAGAAAAACATTTCTTTAGACCTAGGATCGCCTTTCCTACGTTGTGCCCTAGGCACCAGCACATAAGCACGACATCCAAAAACTCTTAGATGATCAATTTTTGGTTTTTCCCAAATAGCATGAAGTAAGGAGTGTTGCCTACTGTGCTATTGTACACTCTGTTAAAAGTATAATTCGCATACAGTGCAGCCTCAGCCCAAAAACGCTGTGGAAGTCCAGAATCAAACAGCAAAGCAGCAATAGCTTCCTGTAATGTTCGAAATTTTCTTTCAGCAACTGCATTCTCCTGTGGTGAATAGGGATTGGTAAGTCTATGAACTATACCTTTCCTTTTTAACCACGTCTCCAGCGTGTGGTTCACATATTCCCCACCACGATCTGATTGTATTTTACGTACCCTGGTGTCAAATTTACATTCGACTTCTTCAATCCAATCCATCAGGATGGAAGCTGCTTGTGTTTTTTCTTTCAGAAAGAAAACCCAACTAGCCCTTGAAAAATCATCCACCAAAATTTGCATAAATCTCGCACCTCCAAGCGATTTGACTGGCATAGGGCCACACACGTCTGTGTGCACAAGTTCAAAGGGTTTCTTGCTTACTCTATCAGATCTAGGATAGTTACATGTCTTAACCTTAGCATGTTTACAAGCACAACAATCCAGAAAATTTGGACAGGGTTTAATGTTACACTCCTCAGCTAAATCTGGCATCTTGCTTACATACTTAAAGCATATATGAGCTAACCTTCTGTGTAGTAGATGTGCACAACCTGTATGAGGAGCCTTATTTACACACTTAGCTTGCGCTTCACCTGTTGAACATCTACCTGCTGCTAACTGCTCTTCATCCAAATCAAAAGCCCATCCTCACAGGGAATTTTAACTAGCTCCTTCCCCTGTTTCGAAATGGTGCACACATCATTTTCAAACTCAACCTTAAAACCACTTTTTACCAGGCATGACACACTCAAAAGTCCATTCTTCATTCCTGGAAGAACAAAAACAGGAAGGTTAGTTTGCAAACAGTTAACATAAATTGTGCCTTTAAGGTTCATTTCTCGTTTACTATTGTCTGCTATAGTCACGGTTTTTGCAACTGGCAATGTCTTGCAGTTCATCAAGCGGCCACTGGATGTCGCTGGAACTAAACTGTGACTTGCTCCACTGTCAATTATCCACTTCAAGGTTTGTTGGCTCCTTTTAGGACTCTTTTGTGCTGCCATTGCAGATAGTCCCTTATCAGCACCTGCTCCCCTCTGGATCGTTGATTCTTGTAGTTCTCACGTCGTCTTCCCCTGTAGCTCCGGAAACTGGCCCTGGACTGTTGAAATTCCTGTTGCTTTTCTGGACACTTTGCTATCAAATGAAACCTGCTGCCACATCGAAAACATGACTTGCTGGCCATAGCAGACACTTGTGAGGCTTCCTTACAGCTCTGCCTGCTAGTTTCCCCACGCTGGGAATTATCTGAACACCCAACCCTTGGGGTATTTGAATTATCAATACGTTTTCGATGATGTTGATATTCTTGCTCACACAATCTACCAGTCACATAATTCATATTCAGCTGGTCCTCTGGCAAAACCTGTAAAGTTAGTACTAAGTTTTCAAACCCTGCATGCAGGCTGCTAAGCAGAGTATAAACTTTAATATTTTCAGGAAAATTCACACCTAAAGATGACAGTCGGTTGAAATACTCAGTCATCTGTGACGTGTGTTCAACCACACTATCCCCTGGCTTCAGTTTCAACTCATACAAAGCACGTATAATGTTCACCTTCTCTCCGGGCGTGGCTCTATGGTGAATTCGCCTAAGAGCTTCCCAAATTTCAAATGCAGACCTTAAATTTTCCACATGAGGTAATTGGGAATCGTCTATCGATACCATCAACATGCATCTAGCTTTAGTGTCCATTTTATCATGTTCCCTATTCTGAGCATGTGCAGCAGCCTGTTGCTCTGCTGTGGCATCTGCTGCAACAGCCACAAACGGCTTTCGCCTCTGGACATAGTCAGCCCACACTTCTTTGGCTTCCAACCAGACTTGAGCCCTCTTAGACCACTGCACGTAATTTGCAGAGTTCAACTTTGTAAAGGGAACCTGGAAATTTTCCACTGCCATTCTTGGGGTCTGCTGCTACTCCCTCTGTGTGCCCTTTCTTCTTTTTCCCCTTGGGATTTGTTTTACTCACTTTTCAGACGCCTCCAGCCTCCTCTGAAGCCTTTAAGAGCTGGATTTACGACCAAGCCGGTCTTCTCTCATCCGAAAGCTGCTTTCACTTTCTCTGCACACAATACAGCTGTAGAAACGTAGAAGGATCCATAACCTAAGAGAGTTTGTGTACTGGTCCAGTAAACGCTTCCGCTGCGCCACCAGCAACAGCTCTCTTTGCAGAGTATTAATTAAGTCCAGTGCAGAGATTCTTGTTGCAGTACAAGCTTCAGAGTCTCAGCAGCAAAGAAATAACGACACAGGGAAGCCTGTCTTTCCAAAGACAGGTTTATTGCAGAAAGATAACAGAAATACCTCCGGAGCTTTCAGACATTTTTGCTTCACACCCCACAGGCAGAGAAAACAAACACACTTTATATACTGAGCAACTTAACAACTTAACGAGCTTGACTACTTAAAGTCACATGACATTGCTAACTTGCCAGCGTCTTAGGTTTCACACCCTAACATGTTTCAGTTCTCAAATTGCTCCAGAAGGTGAAAATTATGCAGGTTCACTTTTAAATGTGAATAGACTTGAAATTCTCCACCATCACACACACCTGACCTCCAGAAATATAAAAGGCAGCTTCCTGTGTTCCTAATCAGACCATGGCTCCATCTTGCTCAGTACTGTTTGCACTGACTGCCAATGGATCCCAGTATTCCAGACTGGGTCATGGGTGTAGCCAAGGGGGGCAGCTGCCCTTCCACGTCAATAAAAACAATATGAATTAATAGTGGGGTTCTGCCCCACTGACAAAAGCCTGCAACCCCCAACAAAATTCCTGGCTACGCCCATGGTACATTTCCAGCCCTACCAGGAGATTCTGGCAATTAAATCTGAGTCCTTATGCATAAAAGCTTAGCTACAGCCTTTCCTCAATATAACATCTGCAAGTGTCCCAACGCATGCCATGTTTTTGATGGTCTTTTATCTCTTTTGTAAAAAAAATAAAATGGTTATACAAAATCCCATGGCGGTGTATGATGGTTTATAAATATTTACATAAATAAATGTGCACAGGGCTCTCTTCATGTGATCAGGACCTCTCGTTTTTCAAGGTCATTCAACTGAACGCGTGTAGGTTTGACACATGTGAACCCACTTTCACCTCCCTGGAGATTTAGATGAGCAGAAAACTCCCGTGCATTGAAGAGGTGTGGGGAGATGCACTGAGTGTCTGGATCATGCCTTTCCTGTAAGCTTTGGCCTTTTACATATAATGGTTTGAAAATAAATGGTAACAATATATTTTAAAAAAATTCAACCATCGTTAGTATGCATAACAGCAATTTGTTTTGGAAGGAGCAGAGGCAGGAAATGAAGGGATCTTCCAGTTAAGCTTTGAGAATGAGAGATAGGTTTCCATTTCTCGCTTCCAATTCTGTTACCAAGCTCAGCTCCTTTTGATTGGCATTGTGATTGTCCCCATCTGATGCTTCTCTCTGGGTTTATATTGGAAAAAGTAGCCCTTCATTTATCTCATCTCTCCACTGCAATGCCTTTGAATTTGCCAAATGAGAATCCCGTCAATTCACCAAAATTGTTTTCTCAATCTAGGATGAGCGATGCCATATCTCTGACGTGTTTCTTACCTTATTTTCCTCCACCATATGTTCTTCTCTTGTAGCCAAAAGCATCCTAACCAGGGGATAGCTCTATGAAAAATGTGACAATATATCACCCAGCGGTGAATTTCTGAAGTGCCTATGCATCATTTTTAAAGTTGCAATGAATCCTTTGATCCCATCTTATCTTATCAGTAGGCATAAGAAGTGCATTAGAATTTGGACAGCAGAACTGCAGGATGTCAAAGGTAACACACTATATTTGGGTGTGTGTGTGTGTGTGTGAGAGAGAGAGAGAGAGAGAGAGAGAGAGAGGAGTCACCTCCAGACTGTCAAGGCCTCCTGGGAATGTAGGTTTATGCAATTAAAGCAGATTAAAGCACTCTGTCACCCTAACACGATAAATCTACTCTAAAGGAACTGTTTTTGTTTTTGTTGTTTTCCCGTTAGGAACATGGCAAGGAAACGCATTTAAAAGTGTGAGATGAGCAAATGGCTATTGGGAAGATGTGTAAACACCATGCAAAACTAATCAGGATGAACGATCAGTGAATGCTCAATAAAGACCAGGCACAGTTAAACCTCTGTGTAAGCTTTGCTCAAGCAAATCAGGATGAATGCTCAATAAAGAGGGGAATCTGGAGAGAGGTAATATTTACAGTAAAACATTCAAAGTGACTCTCATGTTGTAGATTAGAGGTGGCCTCCTGCTGTGTTACTTAAGGAGCAATAAATGTTTTCAGCTTTGTCATTCTTATTTGTGTGTCCTGATTGCATGGAGCGCTTGTATGTAGGGCTCTGTGTGATCGGTGTATCCACACAGTCAGGGACCTCAGTTGCCTAGAACTTTTAATAATGAGTCGCAGCTGCTCTACTCCATCCACAAGTATACCCTGCATGCATGTAATGCATTCTTCGAGCTTCTTCTTTAGTGATCACTCATAGTCAAGTAAGATTGTCTTCCATAAACACAGTTTTAACAATGAGTCCTTAAGTGACTGTGGAGGCCAATTCTGGATCCACACGTCCTACCACAGTGGGGACATTGGTTTCCGGGTGGGAGTTGATCACGGTGTGGATTTGCCAAACATGCCTTCCTCTTAACATGTGTCTCCCTTGCATCCTGAGTTCAAGTGTCTTCAAAGTCCATGACACCTTTGGTAAAGGCTGTTCTCCAATTGGAGGGCTCGCAGGCCAGTGTTTCCCAATTGTTGCTGTTTACACTACATTTTTAAAAAAATTGCCTCGAGACGGTCTTTAAAGCTCTTTAAACCACCAGCATTATGCTTTCCATTTTCAAGTTCGGAATAGAGTAGTTGCTTTGGAAGATGGTCATCAGGCATTCACACAACATGACCAGTCCAATGCAGTTGCTGTTGAAAAATCATTGCTTCAACACTGGTGATCTTTGCTTCTTCCAGTACACTGGTATTAGTTCACCTGTCTTCCCAAGTGATGTGTAAAAATTTTCGGAGACACCATTGATGGATTCTTCCGAGGAGTTAGAGATGGCATTTATATGTGGTCCATGTTTCACAAGCATACAGTAAGATTGGTAGTACAATAGTTTTGTAAACAAGCATTTTGGTTTCTCTGCGAATGTCCCAGTCCTCAAACACTTTGCCTGAAGCCCTAGAGAACCACTGCCCATCAGTGTAGGCCATATGGAGTAAGATGGACTTATAATATAATAATAATAATTCTTTGAGCTAAAGAAGCAATGTCATGGCTGCATTTCTGAATGCAAATTGTCTCAGTCCAACGTGCCTTTGAACCTGAGAGCTGAACTGCATATTGTCACTGACATATGGCAACAGCTTTATAGATTTTACTATTGTTTTTCTTTTCTGCCTCCAAACCAGATCAAAGTGGAATGCAGAGTTTTCCCCCTTAACGCAAAATGGAGAGATACCCAAACTGAAAGTTTCACCCACCTTTACAGGGTACCCATGTAGCATCTTCCCACTGCATTCTGGTCCCAGAAGGAAAATCAGATTTGCAGTTGGTACAGCTGACTTTGCAAGGCTTAAAAAAAATGCAGAAGCAAAGAAAAAAATCCACCACATCACCTAATTTCTCCCCCCCCCCCCCTGGAAAAAAAATATTCAGTGAAATTTGCCCCTTCCAAGGGGGCTGGAACTCCACATCCACTTCGGCCCAAATTTAGTATATAATGCTGAACAGATCTCTGTGGCATCCTTATAAAATTGGGGCAAGTGGGGGAGAAACAAATCAGGGACTTTCTGTTCTATAACCTTTCACTGTTTAAAGTAATAAAGTGAAATGTGTTCCAAAAATTGTGATCTACATAAACTGCACAGGCCTTGTCTTTATTATGTTTTATTCAAAATTCCTGAACACAAAGTCAATTTTAATTTATTCAGTAAAATTGGGAAATTAATATTTTATAGAGACCATTGTGTATTCTGGAAGTGTTTCATTTTATGACCTATGCTATTTGTAATTATAAAAACGCTACATTTTATACATCTTTAATGTTGCAATGCTGTTACAATTTGTTGGTCGCTTATGGTTCCTCCCACAAAATTCTGCCTTTAACTTGGAACATTTGACACATCCATTTTGTATTCCGTGGACTGATTTTTAAATGCAGGGAAATGTGTTCAGACCGGGAGGTTGGGGAACCCATCACAGCTGAACCAGGAAAGAATGTTTTAAGCTCAGACTGGAAGATGAGATATGAAATTGTGGTCCGAGTGTGGACAGCATGACAAGAAGCAATGGCCTGCTAGCCTCGACAACAGAGAACTGTTCCTACCCTTGCAGCTATTTAGATCATTTAAGCTGCTTTCTGTCACACCACATAGCCAAATCTGATGTTCCAAATAGTGCTCTGCACAGGTGGGTTTAGGGCAATGTGACTGGGCACACAAAGTGCTGAGCTGAGAGGCCACCTTCCAGCCTCCTCGCCTCTTTCCCAAAGCCCAATAAGCACTTGCTTCGGGAACCACACATTAGGGATCTGAAAGTGTTCTAGAGTCCTCCTGCCTCCTTCCCAAAGCCTAGTTAGTGTTTGCCAAGCTTTTGGAAGGAGAGAGGAGGATCTTGCCAAAGCCTCATGCCTCATTCCCAAAGCCAGTGTCTCCCTTACGCAGCTTTGGGAAGGCGGCTTTGGGCTGGGAGCAGGACATTTGGCCTCGCACAGGGTGCCATATTACCAAGGTCTGCCTCTGTCTAGAATCACTCAAGAAGGAATGACATAAACAGGTATCCAAGCTTGAAACAGCTGTCAACAGCCATGAAATAGTTAGAGTTCCACCACCACCAACCCCGCAACACACACACACACAGACAAAAGCTTCAGAGTGAAAATTGTT